GTAAGGTAGGGTAATGTAATGTAATGTAAGGTAGGGTAATGTAAGGTAAGGTAGGGTAATGTAATGTAATGTAAGGTAGGGTAATGTAAGGTAAGGTAGGGTAATGTAATGTAATGTAAGGTAGGGTAATGTAAGGTAAGGTAGGGTAATGTAATGTAAGGTAAGGTAAGGTAATGTTAGATTATAAAACCATCTTTTAAGAGGATTTCAGTGAAAAATTCATAATTATATCTCATATAGTTCAAAAGTTATGAAAAAAAAAGTATTTTACAGTAAAATTTAAATGGACATTTAAAAAATATCTGCGCAGGACTAGCAGAAAAGTGGTTTTTAAATTTGCATGCTCAGGGGTTAATAGTGCTTAAATTGGCAGATTGGCTCTTGTGTTCCAAAAAAACTAGTTTGTTATGTTTATACAAGGTATTCTTTATTTAAATGGCAGTGAGATATAGCTACGAACATACCTTTGTCAAATATAGCGCCTTTTCGCCTTTCACTTGTATTTAGCTTCTGGAGCATCCCTTTTCACCATCCAAGAATAATCAGCTAACATGGCGGCACTCCATTTGCTTTTGTATCTTTGCTCCACTGTTGAGATGTCTTGATGGAAGCGCTCACCATGTCTGTCACTGATGGCACCATAGTTTAGTGGGAAGAAATCCAGGTATGAGTACAAGAAATGCATCTTCAATTACATGTTGCACCCCAGTTTTTCATAAGAAGTCATGAGATCTTCAACAAGCTGTCTGTAGTTTCCGGCTTTAACATTTCCTATAAAACCAGTTGAAACATTTCGAAAGGCTTTCCAAGCTAATTTCTCGGTATCACTAAGGATATATTTGAACTGTTTGTCTTTGAAAAGTTGCCTTATTTGTGGACCAATGAAAAGGCCTGCCTTAATCTTCTCTGTAATAAGTCTTGGGAATTTCTCCTGCAAGTATGTGAATGCAGGGCCGTTCACGTTCAAAGCCTTCACAAAATTTTTTATGAGCCCCAGTTTGATGTGTAGTGGTGGAAGCAAAACTTTACTTGGATCTACCAGAGGTTCAAATGCTATGTTCTTCATTCCAGGTGTTAATGCTTTTCGTTGAGGACAACTCCTCTTTTTGTAGTGTATATCCTTGGCACGGCTATCTCACTTGCAGAGAAACCAACAATACTTACTGTAACCCTTTTGTAAAAGTAAAGTAAAGTAAAGTTTGTCCCACTATACGCCATGTAGGCGTTTGGGGTGAGTGGAGGTATAGCTCCTCTCTTTCTTGACCTCGGCACTAGATGGGGGTGAGTGGTCAGCATCACGCCCCGGCCGTAACCCTTTTGTAGTCCTAACAAAATGGTGATTACCTTTAAATCACCACATATCTGATATTAAAACTTCCGGTAGTGTACACTTAAGAGGATGTTCTCCATCTTTGCATATGTTTCTTGTTTGTGGACGGTATATGCAATAGGTATTGAAGGCAGCATATTTCAATTGTGTAATAACACAGCCTTAAGGCTAACCTTAGAAGTGTCTATAAATAGCTGTCATTAGACCAGCAACATCCATACAAACAGTGAGTTTACCTTTTGTTTGATAGAATTTATCATAGTCTTTATTTTTCGAGTATGGAATGTTGCCACATTCACTGAATGATCCAGAAGATTCCACTATTGTAGCCTCGAGGCCAAAAGCTCTGCCTTGTTCTTCAGAAGTTCAAGATCCCTGATGAGGTCATTCAGCTCACTTTCTGTGATCTTATGTGGTTCAGAAGTATAGCGGCTTGTACAAAATGATGGATCCCTTGACGTAGATGGCTGCTGTACTTCTTCGTGTATATCAAGCTCAACATGAACATCATCAGTGTCTTCATCTTCATCAGAGTCTACAAAAAAACTTTTGGGTGGTTCAGGAATAGGTAGTAGTTCACTGTGAGGCACTGGGCGACAGTTGCTGATCACGTGATAAGAGTGTGGTGGTACTATAACTGATAATAATGTAGAGTAACTCGCTAACATGAGACCCCAACCGTAATTCGAAAACAGGAGCCAACTGACAAATTTTAATGTGATTTTCATGTTCAGCAGCCTAAAATTAGTCAAGATTGGTTAGTTTCGTTTTCATAACATTTTATGGGTTGACTAGTTTAATTTTACTGTCAAGTAAAACTAGAAGTACTGCATTCCTATGAATGCTATTAGTTCTTAGAATATGAAAATGCTTCAAGTCATGGTATGGGTGACTCCATGAGTAGTGTTTATCAACCTGGATCTTTGCCAACAGAGGTCAAAACATTGAGGAAAAATGCAAAAGCTGACACTGAATGAAAGTACTGGTACTTCAGCTGGCCAGTGCCATTGAACATTACACTGTTGTAAAAGGGTTCAACAAAGGACTTACCACATACAGTGCTTCCAGTGCTCCGAGCAAGGTGACCAGCTCACTCTGCCTGAAAGTGCTATGTGATGGCAGTATCAGCAGTGGTGCCTTGACACCTGATTTCAGAGCCCTGGAAGTAAACCACATGTAACAACATGAACACATTCAATGTCAGACATATTTTCAAAATGTGCTCTCTGTTATTTTTTATACTTTGTTAGCCCTGATGTTCATGTATCATAGGTACAAACGTAATACTGCAAAAGCTAAATGCACTAAACATACACTCAGAGTCAGATTTTGTTCTGTCTTTCGTTCAGTATTCACAACATTATAAAAATAATCATACAAATTGTATATCTTTACATGGTCTGTACAAGAACACTTCAAATTTGACCTAAAACATTTTCCAGTCATTTCATGAGATGGGATAAGTGTATATATGTATACCAAAAGACTGCTTGATATGTAACAAGTAATCTTACATGCATTCATTTATTAAAGGGACTGAACACTGTAGTTGAATGGTAAGCACTCCTGCTTTGTATTTGCTCAAATCTTGGCCCACAGACTGGATATCCGAACTAAGGATTTCACATGCTTTCCAATTCATTATTCACTAATCTTCACTTCATTTAACACTGTGTAGTCTGCACTACTGACAGCACCATTAAACAAACCACAAATAAATAAATAAATTTACTGACATACCGATAACAGCTCTGAATCAAATCTGAACCATATATAAATAGGTGCTTATAGTTTATACAATGGACTGGGTCTTTGACAATCTGATTTTTAAAACATCTTTTAATGTAGCTCCCACTCACCATCAATAAAGATATGTATAGTAAGGACCAAATTACTTGTGAGTTTTTGCCATGGGGGTGAAGAGCAAGGTGATAAGCACCTCCACACTTTTTCTATCTGTTCTCCCCAGCCGTTCCATGCACCGACCAGGACGTGCTGAGTGCAAATATGTACAGCACTAGGGAGCTCAGCTAGCAAGTAATCTGGTCCCTACTATACATATCCAGCTGATGTGGTGCTGTGATCATAAAAGTGTTAGGTATACCAACTCTACTTGAGAAAATGTTTGCACATGAGTAATGGAATGCAAATGTGATTTAAGTCATACCTCACCTTGCAATTCCTTTCTTAGCTGCCTCAGAGAAACTCCGGACATCAGCATAGTCATTGTTGAGTGGCCCAGTGGGTGAGCTTATGATGCGCCCTGCTGGCAGGTCACATGGCAACACCGCAACTTCAGTGTCCAGAGCTTCGTCAATCTGATGGACAAAAAATAATGGAAGATATAAGCAGGGCACTTGGCTGATGAAAAAAAATTAATATGCAATAGAAGGAATCTGTTAATACACACACAGACACACACTAACAGAGAAAAACCAAATAAGAGAAAATCTTAAAATAATTCAAGAGACAGGTTAAATTACAGAACATGCAGCAACAAAATTTCCTACACTGATCCATCAACAACCCCTCCTTTCACATTTTTCTTTGAAACCAAAGCAATATGATATCTTTCTTTAGCCGCTTCTGCCAAGCAATGCCAACATATACAACATACCCTCATGTTACGTGTCAAGTTTTGTCCCTCTGAGAGTTGTTACAAAATGCCAACAATGATAAAAAATTAAAAGTTACTTCTAAATCACAGACAAGCATTTGTAATGCAGGCTGTCCTCCCAAAAATGTTAGATTAAGTTACAATTTAAATTGAATTTAATTTTTTAGTTTAATTTCATTTTTGTCACCCTCGGTGGACTAGCGGTTAGTGTGCTTGCCACTAGACCCAAGGTTTGCGGGTTCAAACCCGGCTGAGGTCGATGGATTTTTAAGGGTGATAAAAATCCGTAGCACAACATCCTTTGGAGGGGAAGTAAAGCTGCTGGCCGCATGTTGTAGATTTATGACATGTAAAAGAACCCTGCAAGCATGAAATAGATGCTTATTGGCAAAATTCAGTGGCCATATTTCTCACCCATGTCTCTCCTGATTCTCTACTAGATGGCTCCAGTAGACAAATCAGGAATGAGTAGATATTGTGCAGGGGCAGTGGGCTTGTCACTCACTACTCAAATGCACTCTACAAGAGTAATAAGGACAAGTTGCCTTGAGCAATTGTCCTGGAACAGGTCAATAGGCCCAACCCTTGTAGTAGTTGATGATAATGAATTGAGCGTTCGTTTCTATATCTGAACTTCAAACAAGACATTTAGTTCAATAGTAACAGTCATCTGATTAGTACATATTTATTTTTTATGTCTATTTAATGGCAGTGTCAATAGCTCGGACAATTTGGACAGAAAAAAGAAATCTGTGCTACAAAGTAAATAACTGCATCGGGTTAGAGGAATTTTAACATCAAGCAGTTAATAATTTAATCAAGTTTAAGAACAAATGAAACTACAGGAAGGAACATATTTAACTGAAGGGATTGCAATTCATGCCTTCATGTTAATGAGATTAGTTTGCCAAATTATATGTAATGCAGGAATCAGTGTAATCCTTGGGTGAGGGGAGACACCATATTTAGGTAAGACATCATTTTTTTAAGTCATTACCCTCTTTTACCTGCAGGTGTCCAGGTACACATTCATTCAGTTAATCCTATTAGATATTTGGTAGGACTCCTTGGATGAGTGATCAGCCCATCGCAAGGCCTCTACCTACACAGGACAGCACAACACAGAAAGATGCGGACAAACATCCATGCCTTGAGTGGGATTCAAAGCCACAGTCCTGTGCCCAAGCGCACGAGGTTTATGCCTCAGACCGCGTGGTCACTGTGGCCAGCATAAAATTGTATATACAGTACAAAAGGTATCAGATGAGCATATTCTTACATGACATACTTAATTTTTATAAAAAGTTGTGTAAAAAGTAAAAGAATCACATTATTTTGTTTCCAGAAGGAAAAGTTCTCTTTCATTTTACTTTTGTTCATGTCCCACACATTGTCAGTCATTCCCAAGAAACCACGTGGTGCAAAAAGTAATTTCTGTGGCTGCAAAGTCTATATTTCCACCAACTGATGTAGAAGATTGATAATAAATGCTCAAAAGAAGAAGAAATTACATAAGTAGATAGGTAAAACATTACTTACCTTTGCAGAGGAATTGAAAGGTTTTTTCAGAAGTTCATCATAGTTATAGGTTTCTAGAATTGAGCTTACAATCACCACTATACCATCATATGCTGAACTCTTCAAATCTTTTTCTATTTTAAGAGCACATGGCAATCTGAAAATAAAATCAACAATAATTGAAACAGGAACTAAAATCTATGTTTAATAAAATTCCAAAGGAAAGTGTTTCGCTTTAGAAATCTTAGGTTGACTGAGTACTGAGTTGGCCTACTTTAACGCACTATAACAATATCTGCTTGATATGACAGAGAAAAATTAATTTGAAATGACCACAGGATTGTTCTGAATTGTTATTTGACAATTTCTTCCTTGACATTCAGATAATATTTTTGACCATGATCTCAAGACAGACTAAAACCATTAGCCAGAGCTAAACTATCCAGCCTTCTCAACAGTATTATAAAGAGATCAATGGCCTTGAGTGAACTTAATGTTTTTAATTGCAATAAAATAGTTTTCATTAAAGTTTTCTTGACCTTATGTCACCAGTTTTCATGCCACACAACTGCAGACTGAGTTTACTACATTAATGCACATAATGAGCATTTACATTATGATTAAGAACAGTTAGGGCAAATAAGGTCCTTACGATAGACAAACTTTTAAACATTTCTTACAAAGTACCACTTGGTTGCTCCATAGCAGGCTGGAGTTTGGTTAGTTATTGAAAAGATGTTGCAAACAGCACTGTGATCATGCAAATCTCCTGCTGAGTTTCTAATTCGTTTACTATTACCAGACCTAATATAAACCAATCCACCAAGCTCTCCAAATCTGACAATAAATACAGGTTTTATTTAAAGATGGCTATCTTCTGGGTTGTTGCTGCCTCCATCATCGGAGTGATGAGGACGCAACAACCCAGAAAACAGCCATCTTCAGACTCATCACTGTGAATACCTCAAATCCTAGGTTTTATTTAAAATAATCCAAACACAAAAAATTCTACCTTGCTTTATGAAAATGGACGCTGCATTAAAAATATGCCAACACATACATGATTTACAGTTCTCTTTTTTGAATTTTAAAATTACAAATATGGCCAAGAAACCCTTTGAGGTTATGTCTGACAATTTTCACAGAATAGAAATCCAAACCCAAAAAAAATTCTGCCCAACACTAGATCACTTCTATAATTACATCTTCTATACATTCTTCTTGCCCCTATGCATATATAGAAGCAACTATGAGAAAGGAAATAAGTGCCTCTCAAAATCTAACAAAGCCTTTCCCATATTTCATTATCCCTTATTTGAAAACAGCTTAGTATAGTCTGAATAAGATATATAAGAGAATTTCAAATATTTAAAGTTGTGTGTAGACAGTAACATGAAACAGAAAGGGTGAATCAGCATCAACCAATAGCCTGTAATCATACAGCAGGTCAAAATATGAACTGATACACAAAGCACACAGTTCTATTGCTTTGTGGAAAGACTTCTGGTCACAAACTACTCTCCTCTGTAAACATGTACACATGCTTTAACAATGAAAATCACAGCTATAAAGTTGGGCCATTTAAAAAAACAACCTTCAGATTCAGAAGAATGAGGAATCTATTAAAACTTCTCTTCCAACCAGCTAATATTTCTGACCTATTTTGGGTAAAATTCCAAACATTTAAATGGGAAAAACTTTGTTGAAAAAATATACCACAAATAAAGTAACTCTAATCTTTCCATTGTTTAAACTACAACTGCATATGTATAGATAGAAATTTAAAAGCAAGTGCATGGTTAGCAATAAAGGTTATGGTTTGGATGGAAAAAATACATCTGTCCTTGGAAAATTAGCATTTTAGGACCACCCGAAATCATTCAATTAAATTTAATTAAAAATCTTGTGAAGCTCATGATTCAAATTTTGTGCAATTTTCTATAAAGAAAAATATTTTATCTGCACAACCTACTTTCCAATTTTTTCATGAGAATATTGTAAGTATAAGTATACAAGATTAAATGGAACAGTCAATCAAAGTCTTCAAGTTAGCCTTAACATTTGGACATATTATACATGTAAGTCAACAAGAACACAAAAACAAAAGTTGTTATTCTAAAAATTATAGGTTTAAATATGTAGCACAGCTTCTTTTGAGATAGGTAACTACACAACACACAGACTATAAATAAATTCTTGTGGCAAGAGGTGGCTGATGCATCTGATTGTTGAAAGAATAATTGGTGGTCAAACATCAAGCATTAGCAGTATTCCTGTTATTACCCATGCTAGAGCCTCACCTTTTTTTTAGTAAGCTGTATCCACTGAAGATGTGGCCTTCAAACTAACAGACATTATGATGAAATCTATTAACTAAAAATGTATTGGAGGATTTTTTTTGTAATTTAATAAGACCTTTTAAAATGGAGAATGGTTCAGATCCTATCTAACACATAGAAGACAAAAGGTCAACTAAAACAATTAGGACTTTTTCTCAAAATGGGGAACAATAAAACATGGAGTTTCCCAAGGATCAGTTCTAGGACCCTTACTTTTCATAACATACATAAATGACCTTCCTCCAACAAATACCTTATCAGAACCCATAATATTTGCTGATGACAGAAGTATCATAATTTCTAGTACAAATGATTTTTGTGCAACATCAAACACAGTTCTCTCTCATACCAGTAAATGGTTTAAATATATAAGACAAATATAATTAAATTTACAACAACTGACTCTCCACAATATGCTGTTGAGTATTCATTACAATGAAAATTATATAGAAAGTCAGTAAATACAAAATTCATGGGTTTACAAATTGATAACCATCTAAATTTTATCATAGTGATAAACTGATACCTACGTTTCATGCAGCATGTTATGCAGTTAGATCTATGTTGCATGTCAGAACAAGTGACACACTGTAAGCAGTATATTTTGGCTATTTTCAGCCCATAATGAAGTACGGAATAATTTTGTGGGGCAATTCAACTAACAGAAAAATTATATTACCTTTAAAAAAGAAGACTGTTATATTACTGGCTAGTGTCAAACCTAGTAATTCATGTAGAAGAATAACTAAGAGATTAGAAATCCTAGCTCTTTCTTTTGGATACATACTCTCATTAAAGAACTTTATTGCAAGTAACTAAGAACATTTTTTCAAACTAATTCCAGTATACACAGCGTCAACACAAGGATTAAGAATCGGCTACACAGACCAACTGCCAAAATCTCATGTTTTCAACAGTCTACCATCAAATCTTCAGAAGTCTTACAAATAAAAAGGCACAGTTGAAAGTAGCATTAAAAAGATACTCCTTTTACACTGTTGATGAACTTACAATGTTTACAAATAAATCATTATGTTGATGAAAGATTCTTGGGCTACAAGCTGCATCAGGTAGGATGAGAACAGAGATTGTTCTTGAAATGTTGGTAGAATATATGGTTTGTTCACCATTCAACCACCTGACGCGGCTTATAGTCCGAGAATCTTTCGTCAACTTCAGTTGCCACAAAAGCCCCACTTCATACATCAAATCATTATGTTCATTACTTTCTTATAATTTTATATTATAAATGGGTAACATAATTTACCTGCTACATGTAATGGTTGGATATATTTGTAACAACTTTATATAAATTTTTGCTTATATTATGTGAAAACATTATAATACTATAAACTGTAATATGAAAATATATGAATTGTATTATCCTTATTCCACATCCTATTATCATCTGAGTAACTTGTGGATCAATGGAATGCAATAAAGATTTGTGTATGTAATATTTTCACACCACCCAACAAAATGTTTTACTTAGAATAGAAGGAATATAATTTATTTACATTCAATAGATCCTTCATAGGCCTAGGCCAAGGATGTATAATATGTCATAATACAAATACAACAGATTAAATACATAGTTTTAAGAGCTATTTACTTACAAAACCTAGCAAAAGGAGTATCTTTATCAAAACGACTTAAAATTCAATCAAGCAGATATAATGCAACAATGCAAATATACAGGACACAGAATGTTTTGCTGTGCAAATAGAATGTAATTTCTCCAACATGTATGCCCTAGCTACATACAGAGCACTCACAGGTGATTTTGAACTATGTATTCTTAAACAACTTAGAAATCATCATAAATTATCTCTAAAAACCTATGCAAAATAAATATTATCTTACTGAAGGTTACCACAAACACTGTCTGAACTTTTCTTCTTTTAGTACTGCAGCCAGGTTCAAGCCTTGACCGCCCCAATGATGGTCCTCCATTTCTCTCTATACCTGGCCAATCTGTTCCAAATGCCTACTCCACTGCTTCTAAGGTCATCTTCCACACTCTCTAGCCATCTTTTTGGAGGTCATCCTACTCTTCTAGTGACATGCAATATAGTAAAAGTTAACATTCTACAGGGATGGAATTTGTTAGCCCTGAAGAGATGTCCCAGCCATCTTACTTTTTATCTCTCTGATGATATTAGGTTCACCAAATAACTGATAGAGTTAATTGATGTACCTGATTCTCCATCTTCCATTCTGATGAGTTGGGCCATATATTTTCCTTAAAACCTTGCTTTCAAAGGTTGCAAACATATCTTCTGTTATCTATTCTATTAATGGCCAAGGTGACATATTCACATAGCAACATAGCAGTACAGGTCTCATTAAAGTTTTTGCACAATTTGCTTTTAGTCTTCGTGCTGATGTAATGTGATTTTGTTTTTGTAAACCATGATAGCGTCTATCGGCCATCAGCAACAACCTATGGTGGATTTCAATATCCAAATTGTTATTATCAGAGACCATAGTTCCTAAATACACAAATTCTGTTACTTTATCTAATTTATAGTTCCCAACATTAATGTATTTACTTTTTGTTGATTTAGCAGCTATCTCAATGTATTTGGTTTTATCCTCATCTATACAAAGCCCCATCTATTCAATGCCAATGTCTAACTTAATAAATGCCTCTTTGACATCTCTTTCTGATCTTCCAATAATACCTAAATCATCAGCATAAACTAAGACCTGCACTGATTTATAGTATATTATACCTTCTTTCTACACCTGAATCTCCGATCACCTTCTCCAATGCAATGTTAAACATGAGACATGCCAATGCATCCCCTTGTTTTAA